TTCTGCTAGACTCTGAGAGCCTCGGAGAGCTGCTGACAGCTCCTGAGACCTTATGAGATACCCTGGAAGCCTCTGTGAGCTTCTGTGATCTTCTGAGAGCTTCTGGAGGCCCATGAGAGCTTGTGCGAGCTGTCTGAAAACTTCTGAAGGCCACCGAAACCTTCGGAGAGCCTTCGATGGCTTCCGAGAGCCACTGAGGGCCCATGAGACCTTTTGTGGGACTCTGAGAGCCTCGGAGGGGGGCGTCGATAGCTTGTGTTTTTTTTTTTTTGTGAAATTCTTATTCCTGGTGCCCTCTGAAATCTAATAATAATCGCCCAATTGGGAGGCTTCGGAAATTTGAAAAAAATCAAAAAAAAACAAAAACAATCAAAAAACAAAAAAAAATCAAACATCAAAATCGGAATTCGATGTCGTTTTTTTCTGATTTTTTTTTTTTTTTTTTTTTTTTTTTTTTTTTTTTTTTTTTTTTTTTTTTTTTTTTTTTTATTTTTTTTTTCAAATTCCTGGTGCCCTCTGAAATCTTATAATAACCTGCCCAATTGGGAGGCTTCGGGAATTTGAAAAATTTAAAAAGAAAACCCAAAAATCAAAAAAGTCTGATTTTTTTTTGAATTTTTTGAAATTCTTATTCCTGGTGCCCTCTGAAATCTAATAATAATCTCCCAATTGAGAGGCTTCGGGAAACTGAAATTTTAAAAAATCAGAAAAATTCACAAAAAAAAAAAAAAAAAAAAAAAAAAAAAAAAAAAAAAAAAAAAAAAAAAAAAAAAAAAAACGAACTCAGATTTTGATTTTTCCTGGGGACATCAGGATGGCGGTGGTGCCAGCAGTCAGCGGGGGACACGGTGAGACCGAGGAGGAAGTAGAGGAAGCAGAGGCAGAGCAGGACGAGGAGGAAGAAGAGGAGGGCGATTATAGGGGAAGGACGGGGAGTAAAGGACGAGGGGAATACAGGAAAGTGAGCAGAGCATTAGTTATCCTCACTCCGTTCTCACAATAATTCGCTCTTTCGCGTCATTGTCGCGCCGCGACGAGGTTCTGGCTCAAGTCAAACGAGGTTTCAGCCCAAATGGGAAATCCCAAAAAGGGCACGAAAGCCTACCAGGCAAAATTGAAACAAAACGCTGACTACAAGGCAAAAAAACGCCTTCACCAGTTTCTGCTCCAGCCCCGAACGCGGCGCTTGATGGCGGAGGGCGCCCGTGCGGCTGCACTGAAGCTCAAGAGCCGGCTTGAGCAGGTAGCCAAAAAGCAACAGACCGAAGCAGACAACCTCAGGACCTTGTGGGTCGTGTCAAAGTTCTACCATTAAATATAGGTTTGGCACTTTCGAAATGATACGGAAGCTTAATTTCAGCATTTTCCGCAGGAGGCGGTCCAACGTGCATTTCCGCAACGCCAAGGCCGCCAAGGACTCTGCAGAGGCCCGCCGCGAGGATGCCAAGCAGGCGTGGGCGGGGGCGAAAAAGTTCAAGAAGGCTTACTTGCAGGATCGGGAACGCAATCTGGCGACATAGTACCCCCTGCAACAACAAAAACTCCAAGCAGTTTTTTCCTTTGGCAAGTCCTCCATATGTAGCCTGTTTGCGTTCCCTCTGAGGAGAAGAAGGAGAAGGAGGAGACGGCCAACAAGCTGGCCAAGACGGCGGCGAATCTGAAGGCAGAGTCGCTCAAGGTCTGCGCGAACCTGAAGAGAGACGAGGAGCTGCGCAAAGAGAAGAAACGCAACGGCGACCTCCAGCGCCGCCCGCGCACTGTGCAGCAGAGCTACTGGGAGGCCAGGCAGCGCATCAACTTCTTCGAGGGGTGAGCGGCGATGAGAGCCAAGCGGGCGCGGGTCGTCAGACCCGCTGAAAAAAAGGGGCATCCCATTTTCGGATGCCCTCAGAGGAAGGAGCGACGAAAGGAGCCACCAGGGGACCACGAGAAGAAACGCAACCCCGCTTGAAGAACGCACGCCCTTATCTCGCAAGTTATGCGTTTCATGCAGTCTTTGCGGTGTTTACGCAAATATGAAAACTTATGTGTTTAATATTTTTTGTGTATTTGCAGTTTTCATTAAACAAGCAAATTCAAGGGAAAGGAGCGCGACCCCGCTTGAAGAATGCACAGCCTTATCTCGCAAGTTATGTGTTTCATATAGTTTGTGTGGTATTTTGATGAATGTGAAAAGTTATGTGTTTAATACTTTTTTGTGTATTTGTAGTTTTTCAATGAAAACAAGCAAATTCAAGGGATAGGAACGCAACCCCGCTTGAAAAATGCACAGCCTTATCTCGCAAGTTATGTGTTTCATATAGTTTGTGTGGTATTGTGATGAATATGAAAAATTATGTTTTCAATACTTGTTTGGTGTATTTGTAGCTTTCATTCAAAACAAACAAATTCAAGGGATAGGAACGCAACCCCGCTTGAAGAATGCACAGCCTTATCTCGCAAGTGGTGCTGTGCATATTGTGTTTGAGTAGTTTTGAGAAGTATAAAAAAATGTTTGTCCCGTCCATGGGCCGTACTGGGAAGCCTCTTGGAAGCCACTTGCGGCGTCTTGGGGGCCGTCTTGGCTCCATCTTAGGCGCCGTCTTGGGGTCCACCTGGGCCGTCTTGGGGCCATCTTTGGGCCGCCCCTTGGAAGCCGCTTAGACCGTCGTGGAACCATCCTAGGGCGTCTTCGGGTTAACGGGGCAGAAAGCCAACCAGCAATGGACGGACCAAGGACCCCTGGAGGGAGCTGCAAGAGGCCTGGGGAGAGCTCAGGAGAGTATCCAGGAGTGCGTCCAGCAAGGCATCCAGAATGGGGCCCAGACATGGGACAACGAACATATGAGATCTCGTAGTTGTTAGGCTCAAGTCAGTGAACGCTGAGGCTCGCAACTGCATTATTCACATTCAGCGCTAACCATCGGTCGAGCACGCATGATTTCCGTGAGGAACACGTTCATTGACGTTGTGTCGGTTTCACAACGTGCGCCCCAGAGGTCTAGGTCAATGTCTCCTCCGCGGGCTGCGCGTGCAGGTCCTGGTGATTCGGGCGAGGATTCTGGTTCTTTCACCTTCGAGACCGAGAGCCTAGAGAACCTGCGCGACTTCTGCAGGAAGAACTGCTCCAACGAGCCGATTGCAGCCAGCGTGCCGCGCGACATGGGGGCCGCTTCTGCCGCCGAGCCCATCGACGCAGCACCGTGCGGCGCCGCTGCTGGGCCTCCCACGACGAGCTTCATGTCAATGGGCAAGGCAACATGGAACGACTTGTGCGTGGACCTGCGGGCCATGAACGCCGCGCTTTTTCCGAAGCCAGCCTGGGGCTACATCCAGCATAAGCCAGGGCGCGAGGTGAAGCAGTCCAGGGGGTACTTGAGAGCTGCGCCCGCCGCGGCGAAGGCGTGGTGGTGTCTTCTGTTCGGTGAGCCAAGGAAAAGCATTCGGCCGCCGTCGCCCCGCGCACCCCCGCTGGCCATGAAGAAGAAGAAGAAGAAAAAGCCGCAGCGCGGCGCCAGCTGCAACGCAGCCAACCAGTGGATCTGGGCGAGCTCGACGCCATCATTCGCGAGCACGGCAATCAGCTCTACACCCAGAACCCTCCCCTGCGCTGGCAGAGGAACCGCCATGGCAGCGCTGGCAAGAACTGCGTGAGAGATGCACCCTACCGCCGCCTTGCCGCGGGGCAGAGCTGTGTCGAAGCGGAGTCAGGCCCGAATTTCGTGGACACCTTGCGCGGCGCTGGGGTCGTGGAGACTGCAGCGCGGCCCCGCCCCGACCGCGGTACGCGCGCGCTCAATGCGAGCGCCGCGTGCGACGAGGACTGGGCAGAGATCTGCCCGACGTGGCGGGAGAGGAAGCCCTTGTCCCCCAGGTGCTTCAACCGCCTTGCAACCGAGGTTTGCGCCCGCAGGGGGCTTGCGCGCGCTCCAACGTGGGAATTTGAGCGGCGCCAGCGGTGGGCCAATCTGCTGCGCTCTGGCGAGTCCCGCATGCGCGTAGTCCCCTCTCCGAATGGCCACGAGGCAGGGCACGCGTTCGTCATCCATTTCCCTCGCTCCAGATTTCGCCACGAAGTTGAAGTCCTGGACGACTCGGAGTTGGACGAGGTGATATGCTTGTCGATGACGCGGACGGTTCCGTGCAGGGAGGAGTTCGGGCAAGCCATGTTCTTTGCATTGCGGACGCAGGATGTCGACGCGGATGACAGGCACAAAGAGCCATCCGATGGGCCGTGCGGCGCGCTGGCCACAGGGTCGGTGGAAGGAGGCATTCCTGCCATCGCATCTGAAGCAAGCCAAGGCGCCCTGCCGTCGGCGCCGCCGGGCGGCGGCGCGCCCGCCGTTGGCGAGGCCCCCGAGGAGACGAGGAGCAACCTCGCGATGCGCCAGAGGCTACCTGGCGTCAAGGAATCGGCCGCGGCCTTCGCCTCATTCAGGATAAAAGCCAACGCCTGGGCGGCCGCCGCCTCTTCGCCCCCCATACTCCCCGAGCGCAAAGACGGTGGCATGGTCGGGCGCACCAGGGAGCTGGAGAAGTACGTGCATGATGAGAAGCCAGACTGGACCCCTTTCCAGAAGAAGTTGGCCGTAGCTGCGCTCGGCGTTTACCGCATGCGGCTCATCGACATCAACGTGCGAGACCACTGCCACATCCTCTGGATTCTCGCTGGGGACAGCCTGCTGCGCGCCGAGGATGGCATGGCGAGGGAATATAACGAAGACCTGGGGTCGTTCGATGCGCATCACGGCCTTCTGCGGGAATCAACTCTGAGCGCCGTTAAGTTGCGGCTGCTCTCCTTGGAGGGCCTGTTCCGCGAGTTCGAGGGCGACGTCGACAGATCTCAGGAGGGCCTCCTCGCAGCCATGACAAGGGCGTTTGCGACGCGCGGAGAGGGGGTTGACAAGGAAGACGAGCTGATCAAGGCCTTCGAAGACAACTGCTTACATGGCAAGGGCAACGGAAAATTGAAGGGCAAAGGGAAAGGCAAGGGCCCTCCGCTTGGCGAGGAAGGCGCTCAGCAGGACATGGGGCCCGAGGATAACCCGCCCACTAACCAGTCTACTTGGTACGTATACACCGCTCAAACGGTGAGCAAAGTTAACAAGTCCATACAGGACGAACTTATGGGCACGAAGCTAATGGGGTACTTTATCGAATGGTGCCAGCGCCCAACGAAACGAGTCAAGGGGAACGCGTACCAGGACGCGGCGGTGAAGTACAACGACGACGGCCCCAACAAGCCGATCGTCGAATACTTGAAGACTCGCTCACCAGAGAACAACATATACATTGGAATACCAGCTCCGCTCCGGGACCCCGTGCTGGATTCCGTGAAGAACAGAGTGTGGGGTTGTTACGAGCAAGCGTTCTGGTCACTCGCCCCCGCTTTCCTGGCCTGCTGCGCCGCGCTCGCCCTGGCAAAGCGCGGGCTCAACGTTGACACGCTGTTCATTTTCTGGGGGGCAGGGGGAGTCGGCCTCTCTTTGCTCTCCGCCCATTTGGCAGCGACATACGGATCCAGCCTGCACGAGTACTTCGACCCGAACATCTTTTACATGGATGAGGAACTTCGGAAAGTCATCGAGCTTCTTGTCGGCGGCATCATCTCCACTGGGCAGGAGAGGCCCGTCAAACGAAGCAAGAGATCCGAGAAGATTTGCTGAAGAAGTTCTGCAGCGGCGATGGCTTATCGGGGAGGCTGCCGTTCGGCATCCTGACGAAGCTCTTCAAGATCATCGGATGGAAGCGCATGGAGCTGAACCATATGTTCACGTTCAGGAGCGTGTCCGAAGCAGATTTCGAGTCGATCATGCGCAGGTCGCTCATCATCAAGGTCGTGGCGCGCTTCTTCGACGCCTCCTACTTGCGGAGGTTCTTGCCCGACCACGAACAGCACGGCATTTTCGCGAGGCAGCCCGACATGAAGGACTTCATGACCGACCTGCCCGCGCGCGCCGCACACGTCCAGATCCAGGCGGCGTTCGAGGAAAAAGTACAATCAGGCAGCGTGCGAGGAGCTCATTGTAAGCTACGCGCGTGGAGGCGGAGACCACGGCGTCACCGAAAAATACATGCGCGCGGCGTGCCATCTGCCGCCGAGCGATCGCGAGGTGGATGGCGGAGCCCGCGTCGCAGGCGTGAGCGCGGCGACGGCCGAAGATGACGAGGACAGAGCACGGCGGGAACAAGCTGTGAAGATGGGGCTGCATTTCGCCCGCCAGATGATGCAGAAAGGCATCGACTACCTTACCGTTAACACAGTGTCCAAGATGCAGATCCCAGCGAACTCTCCAACCACTAACAAAGCCGAGTTGCTGGACCAACTCGTTGCATTCCAGTTGTGGCATAAGTTCGCACCTGCTGGCAAGGGGCACAAGAAGCTAGACCAATACATGCCGATCGTGGTCACGGCTCACGACCTGGGCGCGGCGTTCCCACAGGTCATCGCTAGCGACCCCGTGAACCTGCCCGAAGTGCACAACATTGACCGCGTGGAGTCCGTTTACATGTCGAGCTCCTGCGACAAGATGAACTCTGACATCATGTCGGGCGTTCTGGAGGCGTGCGCGAAATCCCTCAGGCCGCAAGGACAGAGGGGGCAGATGGCCGCAGGTCCGCAAGCCCCCCAGAAGGAGTTGCTGAAGCGTGCGATGGCTATTCGGGCCTTGGAGGAGATCGCGGAGAAGCTCGCCTCGGCGCGCGCGGCGCATCCGCCGTCGAAGAGGCGTCGAGAGAAGGCGCCAGTCAAGCCGCCCGCGCCCCAACAGGGGCCGTCAGCGCCCGATGCCTCCGACAAGAAGCTCTCGATATCCACTGCAGTGTAGCAGATGAGCAGGGAATGGCCGACGAGACTCCACGCCAGGGGCGCCATTGCCGCGCAGCACATGCCGCGCCGCCTGCAGAGGGAAAGCTGGGGGACCACACATTGGATTTAGACATTTGCAACTTCCTGTTCAGCGTGCTGCCCCAGATGATGGATCGCTTGCAGGTGGGCGTCTCGGGGCGAAGTGGAAGAGGACAGAGAGAAAGAGAGAGATTGAGCGAGAGAGAGAGAGAGGGGGGCGGGGAGAGAGAGAGAGAGAGAGAGAGAGAGAGAGAGAGAGAGAGAGAGAGAGAGAGAGGGGGAGGGGGGCGGAGAGAGAGAGAGAGAGAGAGAGAGAAAGAGAGGGAGAGAGAGAGAGAGAGAGAGAGAGAGAGAGAGAGAGACGCCCGCCCAGGTCAGCGCCGAATGGCGCGCGCAGTTCAAGGACGAGTTCGCGTTGATTGACCGGCTCAGCAAGTCGCGCTTGGAAGTCTGCGTGAACGAGTGCAAGCTTCCACTGTCCATATGCAAAAGCATCCTTCTCTCGGTGGTAGGCGTGGGGGGGGTCCCGCCGAGGCACTCGGAGGTTGGGGTCTTCATCTTGCTGTCGAAAGTCGCGCGGCTGCTGCGCTGGCTAGCAGTTGGGCTCATGCGCCCGCAATATCAGACCTTGCTCAACGACGTGGAGGTTGAATGGGCGGAGGCGTCTTGCTTTGCTCATTTCTGGCAGGGGTGCGAAGCCTACATCATCTCTGCTTGGAGGGAGTTCTGCTTGGAGAAGCCAGTGACCCACTTGCCCCTGCACTTCGACGGGCTGCGCGTGGACGCCGCGCGCGCAGACGCGGAGCCGAAGGCGGACGACCAGGCGGCGGCCGAGGCAATGTGCTCCGCTTCCGAGCGCCGCATCGCCGAGGTCACGGGCTACAGGGTCAAAATCGTAGAGAAGAAGCACTGCTACTTCCAGGAGCTGATCGACATGGCGTTCGAGAGCGCGAGCGGGGCGGCCCTCTCCAGCGACGGCCTCGTCTCGAGCGGCATCTTCATGAAAAATGGTAACTGCATCCCTCAGGCTCTCGCGCAGCTGGACCCGCAGACTGGCGCGCGGGAGAGAATCGCAGAGGCGCTGGGGCAAGATACGGCCGAGAACACTGCGGCCTCCTCCAGGGGGACAAGAAGCTATAAGGAGGCTGCGGATCTATGCAGCGCGTCTTTGACTCCGTTTTTGTCGTTGCCATTCGACGCGCAGGGCAGTTGGATTCTCCACGCGGCGGGCGCTGGCCGCCCGCGCTGCGCCCCCGTTGAACTTACAGAGCTACGAGCACTGGTTTGGGGTTCGAAAGGTCGCGTGTCCATGCCCAGGGCTTGCCTTTTTGACATAACGCACAGGGCCATTGATAACAAAACGTTGGTCGCTTTTTCGTTGGATGGGCAGCAGGCCGAGGACGACGCCGCTGATTTCCAATTGGAGCCGCTGCTGGACTTGCAGGCTGGCGCTGGGGCAGAGCCAGACATTGCAGATGACGACATGCTCGTCGTCGACGACGGCTCCGACTCGTCGGACGACGAGTCCCAGGTCAACGTCTTCAAGTTGTTGCGCACCTCGCTGTGCCGCGAAGTGGCCGCGGTGAAGTCAGACGCGGCCAAGCGAGTGAAGGGCGGCAAGTCTGGCTCTCTGGAAGTCGGTTGCGGGCGCCCCCTGCGCCCGTTCAAGACTTTCAAGAAGGCTCAATGGAAGAGGGACATGGCCGCGCACCTGAACGCCAAGCACAAGGCCGATCGCACGTTCGGGAACCACGTTGCGGCGGGTTCTAAGCAGTTCACAATCATCAAAGCGCTCTTCAACAACGGCCGCATCAAGGGGGCGGCCACCGAAAAATATTGAAAGAAGCAGCAATATCTTGAGACAGTCAGTTTCGCCAGCTTTACCCAGCGGCCTCAATGCTCATTTGGACAAGCACGTGAAGCTCGCCCTGGGCAAGCACGGGCCGCAGTTCATTCGCAGCAACGCCAAGGATCAGATGGCGCTGCGCGAGCTCACAGGGAAAACCTGGTACACGAAAGAGTTCGCAGAATTGGTGTGGCGGCAAGCTCTCATCGAGCGGGGCCACATGGTGGCCGTGCGGCGCCAGTTGGCGCTTCGCTTCCAGGAGTCGGGGAACGAGATCGCCGACCTGATCCCGCAGTTCAAAGGGATGTGGGCTCGCTTGCTTGAAGACTTATGCTCGGCCTCTTTCGCGATGGCGCTTCGAACCAGCTTATTGGCTCAATGTTTCGACCACGATGAATTTAAACATATTGGCCTCGATTGCACCGCGCGCATCCTCGTGGGGGTGCGCGGCCAAGAGAACTACCGCAAGCCCAAGGCTGTGCGCGATCTTGCAGCTATTCCCGACGCAGAGGCTCACAGAAGAGTCCTTACCGCCATCGGGAGAACAGGCGCCCCGCTGGTTCTGACGACGGCGCCGACGGAAGCTGGGTCAGACATTGCACGGGCGTTGGAAGAGAGCTTGCTTCTGAATCACCGCCGACAAACGGTGGCAGTGTCCTGCGACGCGCCGCCCAGGCTCGGCGGCGGTCTCAGGGAGGGGAAGTGAGAGGGGGCGGGCGTTCTCAGAACGCAACGGAGCTTCTCAGACGCCCTCTCGCCTTCTGAGAAGCCTTCCAAGCTTTCCCCGAAGCCGCAGAATGCCCACAGAACGCGGGGCGGCTTCTCAGAAGCCCGCCGTCCCCCGAGAAGCTCCCCCACCCCTCTCTCTCGCTCCCCCCCCTGGGTCTACCGCCTACAGGGAGTTGCGCGACAAGCTTACCGCCGCTCTCCCAAACCTCAAGTATTTGATCTGCGATCCAGTGCACCTCGTCATCACTTACGAGCAGTCGCACTACCGCAAGATGACTGTGGGGTCGGCGAAGCTGCGCGTCATCATGAATAAGTTCAACAAAGTGGATGCTCGGCGGAGTTCGGAGTCGCACGGCCCGCCATATACGGGACGCGAAGATCGGTCTCTATCCCGTTCTGAGGGCAGCATGCGAGGTCACATCTTGAAATGCGACCTCGGCCGCGCGAGGGCCTCGAAGATCTTGGGGGCGCTCGACGGGGAGAAGCCGTGGGGGAGCAGCTTTGAGTTCATCCAGGCCTTGGCTGCGCTGACGTGCCATTTCTCGGGCGAAGTTCAGCGTTGTACGCGCGTGGCGGGCAAGACCCTTAAGCACGTGGTGTGGTGCGCTGCTGCCCCCGACCGCCTCGAATATTACATGAACAGCCAGCGGTTTCGCCATTCGTTTGCTGCGGCGAAGCTGCGACTCCTGGGCTCGGGCACGTCGCCCAACGAGGCATTTCACAGCTGCATCAACCGTTGGTTCAGAAATCAACCAGAAGTGTTTGTACAGACCATCCGCTTGCAGCTCCAGGTGAATTGCCTCGCCTGTCTGTTAACGCACAATACTGCTCTATATTCGCCTGCTCTCAGACAGATGCGCCAAGTCGACCTGCTGTCCCACAAAGTGGCGACGATGGCGATCTCGGACGAAGAATGGGCGGAATTCACTAGGCGCCCGCCTGCATTCCCAGCTGAAGCAGCGAAAGAGAAAACGCGACAGGCAATCAAGGAGCGCGCGCCGCAGGGCAAGGCGCAGGCCAAGAGGCCTCGCAAGCGCACTGTTTTCACTTTGAAGCGGAAGCCGACGGCGGTGGCCCCGCCTAAACGGGCGAGGGCCCCGCCCCGGAAGCGGCCAGCCGCATGCCTTCACTAGAGGCCTCGCTTTGCCTCGCTTGTCGATCGTACTGGCCGCCCGCCCCTTGAGAAAAAGTCTGGAAACGACGCCTGCTCCTGAGAATCTCTGGAAGCTTCTGAACTCCTTTGAGGCTTCTGAAAACTTCTGAAGGCATCTGAAACCTTCTGAAAGCTTGTGAAGGCTTCTGAGAGCCTCTGAGAGCCTGAGAGCTTCTGCTAGACTCTGAGAGCCTCGGAGAGCTGCTGACAGCTCCTGAGACCTTCTGAGATACCCTGAAAGCCTCTGTGAGCTTCTGTGATCTTCTGAGAGCTTCTGAAGGCCCATGAGAGCTTGTGCGAGCTATCTGAAAACCTCTGAAGGCCACCGAAACCTTCGGAGAGCCTTCGACGGCTTCCGAGAGCCACTGAGGGCCCATGAGACCTTTTGTGGGACTCTGAGAGCCTCGGAGGGGGGCGTCGATCAGCGTTGCCAGAGGAAAAGCTTGAAAACGACGCCTGCGCCCTAAACACACTCACCACATGATTGTATATATGCATGTGTATATATATATATATATATATGTAAATAGATGTACTCACACATTTTCCCGTGGCATAAACCTCATGCCTCCGCCTGTACTCCGGCCGGGCGCCTCTGCGGTCCTTGCCGCCCTGCGCATTCCGCTCCTGCAGGCGAGACCCCTGAAGGAGGGGGAGGAGGAGGATATGCTAAATACATACCTACTTATTTATGTTACATGCGTGTGTGCCGTATGATAGTGAAGCTAAAACGTGTGATGTGTAGGGACAGACAGCTTAATGAAAGCCAGCCCTTGCGGCCTGCTTCAACAGCGCCACATGCCAGTCGTCCTCTAGGTTGAGCGGTCTCCCAGCAACGCTGACATCATAGGATTTGCCAATTTCCTTCCAATATTCAGAGAGCGTCAGCCTATACCAACTCCTTTTGGGGCGTCCCACGCGGAGCGTCCACACGTCGCGTTGCTTTAGTGTTGTCGGGTTGAGCAACATAGTTTTCACAGGATCGTCGTCCCTGCTGGCAAGTATGGCTGCGAAGGATTTGAGCCTCATACGTGTGCAGTATCCACTGAGCCTCTCAATGCGGTCTTCAGGCCGCTGCGCCTGCAGCTGCTTGTTGGCGCGCGTGTATACATATGTGTTGCTTTGTTGTGTGTCAACATATGTCGTCGTGATCTTTAGTATTTGTCGTAGCCCATTCAATTTGAATGTGTCCAGGCGTTGCCGTGAGCTCTCCGTGAGCTGCGCCGACTCCAAGCCATACATGAGTTTCGAGCGGAGAATGGCGTTGAAGACCTGGAGCTTGAGTCGGACGGAGCAGTCTGAGCTTTTGAAGAACAACCCAAGCTTTTTTCCAGACGCCCATGCACATGGAAAGGCGATGTCGTAACTTCATCGGCGGGTCTCCTCTATCGTTGACTAAACATCCCAAATATTTTACCTTGTACATGTGCGGCCTAACTGTTCCATGGCGGAATTGGAGGGTGACTTGTTGCCCAAACTGAATGATTTCGCAATTGTTTTCGTTAAATTTCAAGCCGTATGTTTCAATTTCTTCCTCGATGGCGTGCAGCAAAGGTGGAAACACAAATTGTGTCGTCTGCGTACAAAATATCGTCCTCCGTTTGCCCCGGCACCCTCCCTGCCCGCAGGTCTTCGTCCAGGGTGTGGTGGGTATGAACGTCGTGGAAGAGGCAAGTCATGACTACCAGACAGAGATACGGTGACAGGTGGCATCCCTGGCGTATGCCTGTGGATTGTTCGTGCATTTGTGACGCAGACCCCTCTACTTCAACAAAGAAGGTTGGTCTCGAGTACAGAGAGCGGATCGTGTCGAGGATCCGTGGGTGAACCTGCATGCGCTCGAGGGACTGGAAAAGCGCCCCGTGTTTCACTTTGTCGAACGCCTTTTCCCACTCGAGTAGCAAGAGTAAGAGGTTGTTCTCGGTGCGCTCTCCGTATTCCATGGTTCTCCGCACAAGGTGGATGGCCTGCGCCGTGCTCTTCCGCTGTCGAAAGCCGTATTGTGTTTTCTGCACAGGTGCGGATCCAGCGTGTAAGAGAGACGTCTTTGAATGAAGGCTGCGAAGATTTTGTAAATGCTGCTCAAAAGCGAAATTGGGCAGTAGTTCTCCAGGTTGCTCGAATCGTTTTTTGTATAGGAAAACCACCCGCGCCTTTACGGATTCTTTCGGAATGTGTCGCTGGGCCCACCAATCGTTGAGGGGTGTCCAATACTAGAACGAGCGTGTCGCCATCCATTTCTTTGGACAACTCTATCGGTACTTCGTCTGGGCCCGGTGCTTTTCGTCGCTTGAATCTCTATAAGATTGCTCGCAGCTCCATCAGTGACAGCGGTGACCGGTCCCACGCTAGAGGGTGATCCACTACTGTCCCCCCACGGCATCTGCGTGGCAGCATGCTGTCCTGGGCCGGTCGGTCTCGCTGGTGCGCCCCACTGCTTGGTGGCAAGATGTTTCGCTGCTTCTTCCGCTCGTTCGTGCAAAGGGACGGGCGCGCCATTTGCTTTTTTGTACGCGTATGGTTGTGGCGTGTACTCGGAGCGCTTCCGTTTGAGGCCCATCCAGCGGTCTCTGACGTCCATGTTTTGCTGCACGGAGTCTAACAGAGCTTGTCTTCCGTCGTGCTGGCGTTGAAAATTGATTTGGGCACTAAGTGATTTGATAGTGTCCGGGTCGTTGTTGTGTTCGATGACACGTTGTCGTCGTTGGAGGAGGGCATCCACTGCTGCAGAGACCTCCTGCGGTTTCCGTTTTGGCGGAAACTCTGGGATTCTACCCTCCGCCGCCTGCCGCATGACGTCGGCGAGGTTTGCGGGTGTGGCTTCTTGAGGCCAGTGCTCCCTCACATACTGGTTAAAAGCTTGTTTTTGTTCGTCAGAACATGGGAGATATTTGCGCCTCTCGTGGCCCGTTGGCTTGTGCATTTGTTTCAATCGTATCTCAAGAGTCGCAACCACAGGGTAGTGGTCGGAGGAGAGGTTAGCAGATGTGTGGCTTTCGACGTTACGCACGCTGTTCTTCCAGCGCTGCTGCGCCAGAACATAATCCAGCATTTCGTGCGGCCCCCTCCGAAAAGGAGGGCCCCGTTGTGCACCTGGCGCCCTGTAGGTGGCTAGTTTTTTGTTTGTTGTTTCTGGTGGCTTGGAGAAAAACGTACTCACACATATACATGCGTACATATATATATGTAGTGCGTAAGTATATATGTGTATAGGTATATGTACATATGTATGTATATGTATGTATATATATGTGGATAAATATAAATGCATGTTTATATATATATATATATATATATATATATATAAAAACATGTATATATCTCCGACACCGTGCCCTTGAGGCACGAATTGGAATGTCCTCAGGTCCGTTGTTGGATCCCCTGGAGCCTCAATCGTCAATCCTGAAGATGATTAAAGGGGCCCAAACCCAAAATCGCCAAATCGGCCGGGGCGTGTCGCGTGGCTCCAGGAGCGCATCGTGCAGCCCCCGGGGTTTGCCGCGTCCTGTCGCGTGACTTTTTCGGGCCCAAGAGGGCCCCAAGACGGGCCAAGACGACCTCAAGAGGCCCCCAAGACGGTCCAAGAGGGCCCCGAATCGCAGCACGATCGATCCAAGACGCCCCAAATGATCTCCAGTCGGCCGAACTGGCCCGCGACGTCCCAAGAGGCCTCCAAGAATGTTCCCAAGAGGGCCCCGAGAGAGTAAAATCATTAATTTCCCATGTGTTCTTCAATGTGCTTCGGCATTCTCGCTCCAAGACGGCCCAAGAGGCTCCCAAGATCGCCCCAAGACGGCCCAAGAGGCCTCTAAGACGGCCCCAAAACGGCCCCAGAGGGCCCCCAGACGTCCCAAGAGGCGCCCAAGACAGCCCAAACGGCACCCAAGACCGAATGGACATTTCAAGCCCTCGGCCCCAAGAGCCCCCCAGAGGAGAGGCTCCAAAGAGGCCCCCAAGAGGCTCCAAAAGGACCCAAAACTGCCCCAAGAGGCTCACGAGAGCGCCCCGAAGAGACCCCAAGAAAGATCCTTGAGGACTCGGACCCACAACCCAGGCACGTTAGCGGGATGAGCCGACTGCCCATATCTATGTATATATACATATATATATATACATATATAGATACATACATACACTCACACATGCATACATAGATCGATACATACCTACATGTATGTATACATACATAGATAGATACATACATGCATACATGCATTCATGCATGCGTACATGCATGCGTACATAATATATATGTATATATATATATATATATACACATACATACATACATACATACATACATACATACATACATACATACATACATGAATGCATGCATACATACATACATACATACAGACAGACAGACAGACAGACAGACATATATACATACATACATGCATGCACGCATACGCACATGCATACATACATGCATACATACATACATACATACTGATTGACAGACAAACAGACAGGCAGACAGGCATACGTACATGCATATAGATATACATGCATACATGCATACATGCAGGCATACATACCTGCATGCATACACACCTACGTACATACATACATACATACATACATACATGCATACAAACAAACAAACATATGCATGAATAATACATGAATGTAGATCGTTATACACATATGTGTAGATGCACAGATACAGTAATTAGATAGATAGACGTCGAAACACAGATAGAGAAGCACACACTCGAACCACGGGCGCGCTTCGCGAGCTTATACCTGCGTCTAAGAAACCCGAACCACACATGGCCAGTGAGGAGTGCAAGGGCGAGTCTGGAGCTTCCTTGGGGTTGGCAGTTGGACCTGCTGTAACTAAATTGGACGGTCCCGTCAACGCGTAGGGTAACCGTACTTTTGTTTGCGATCGGCACTGTGTCGCGAGAGCACTTCTCCATAGAATTAGTGCGGCGCGACATCCTATCAGTGTGCAGCGACAACGGAAATTGGCAT